CTCTGACATGATTTCTTATTCTATACTAGGAAGTCTGGAATGTGAGACAAGTGCCAGTGAGCTTCCGTTTTCCTTTCTGGGAGCCTTTCTGCACCCCTGAGTTAGGACCTTCAGTGAAAGATTGGCATTGACTTAATGAGGTCTGGTAGTCTGACTTCCTTAGTTCTATTCTGCTAGATGGATTCACCAGAGCAGAACAGATAACTTGGTTTTACTTTTTTTTTTGAGACAGGGTCTTACTGTGTGGCCAGGCTGTCCTCAAACTGGCCAGCCTCCAGCCCCATCCTCTGAGTGCTGGGATTACAAGTGTGTATCACCACACCCAGCATGATAACTTGGTTTTGCCTTTTTTCTCTCTCTTTCTCTCTTTCTTCTTTTCTTTCCTCTCTCTCTTTCCTTCCTTTTTTTTTATTCCCCTGTAGTACTGGGGTTTGAATTTAGGGTCTCATGCTTTTTGGGTAAATGTTTTACCACTTCAGCTGCACCTACAGCCCTAGTCATACCTTTTTTGAAATTAGTAAAATAATAATCACGAATTGTTAGTAAGATGAAATACTTCATAGAACAAAGATAACAAAAATTATAAAATATTTCTAATCATGAATGATAGTGTTTTGCCACCTTAATCTAATGTTAGAGGTTATGTCTGAATCTACAGCTCTTTCCACATACACTGGGTTCCCTTTACAGACAGTTCCTACTCTTTCTCTTACAAAATACAGAAACACAGTTTCTTTGAGGGAATGCTTTCTTTTTTTTTCTCAGTGCATGTAATTAAGACATTAAAACTTAAATAAGGGCTGGAGATGTGACACAAGCAGTAGAACACCTGCCTAGCAAGCACAAGGCCCTGAGTTCAAACCCCAGCCCCACCAAAAAAAAAAAAAACTTAAGTAAAATTTAGTTTCACCTTAGTTTCTTTTTTTTTTTTAATCATTTTTACATTTACAAACATGCATATACATTGTTTGGGCCACCTTCCCCCCACCCCTGCCCTCACCTTATTTTCTAAAGTTGACTTTATCTATTTGTTTTTCTAAATATTAACCTTGGGATCCCATTTTGCTTTCTTTTCCTTCTTCTGTGGCCTGTTTCTAGTGGCCAGTGCTTAAGGCCTGGGAGCTATGACCTTTCTCAAATCAGAATGGCCACCAGCACCCTGCTGCTTCTCCACGGCACTCCTGGGTTTCAGACACTCCGATCCTAATCTTCTCAGTCAAACTCTGAGATGTGCAGAGTCAACAGTTACGGCAGCACAGTCTGTTATCTACTCATGGTGCAATTACTTGGCAGCCACCTAGAATGCAAGGTTTTTGTGAGCCCCAGAGAACTCATATCCTGAAGAGACACTAATCAAGGCCCGCGGGTCCTCTTGGCAGGGGCGTGGAAAAGGTGGACTATAATTGATAGGAGATTTAATTTGTGAGGACTTAATCTGATCTGCTTTTGGAACAAGATGGTGCAGATGTACTTACTGTCCATTTTCTCTGGTCATTCTCTGAAGACTCATTTGATTGCATGGTGATAGCATTGTTATAAGGACACAGAACTTTATTACACGAGTCGACTTCTGTCCTTTACCTGCCTCACCGCCCAGAACTGCTCTAGGATGTGTTCAGCCTGTGTTGTGCTGGTGGGAGGAGGGGAATGACTGATGTCGCAGATGGTGTGGGGTGGAGCAGTTTGGACTCCTGCTTGCTCACAGCTTCTTTTAACACAGCAGGTGCTGAGTTACCCTGGAAGTACATTCTTAGGATGCAGCAAGAAATGGTACTAGTTAGCCCTTCATCTGACAGCTTTGGTTTCTAGATTTGCTAGAACTGGTGACTCTGACATAGATGGTGTTAAAGGTCCTAAGTGGCTGGCACAAGCAAAGCCAAGGACTTTGGTGTGTAATCAGAACAAACCAGAAGCAGCATAGGCCAGACTGCCCTGTGCAGTGCTTCCTGAATCTGCTATTGAGAGAAGGAGCACTAGAACAAGAAGCTACTCAGCAGGTGACAGGGATACTTTCTCTGACAAGACTTGGCCAGAGCCCTTGCGCTTTTTCCTCTCTGTGGTGCTGGGGATGGAACCCAGGGCCGTATACATGCTGGGCAAGCACTCTACCACTGAGCTGCATGCCCCAGTCCCTTCGAGCAATTGGCTGGGCATTTTCTCCTGAGGGTATCAGGATAAGTGGTCATCGACTTCTGTCTGAGGTAAGAAGCAGATTTGGCATAGATAGCCTCTCTGAAAAGGATGTGTCGTTTTTGTTTTTGTTTTTTGATAGCACCATGTATTGTAGAAGCACATGAAAGGGTTCACAGCCACTAGAGTTGGGCCCTCAGAGTTACAATTCAATCAAAAGCTGATTTCATCTATCATTTAGTCATTAAATTGATTGGGAGTGAGGTGAGAGCAAGGGACTCCAGAAACTCACATTTGCCAGTTTCAGAGAACAAATCCTTAGATGCTTTCAATTCGGTTTTCACTGTTTAAAGATGGCAAAAAAAAAAAAAAAAATGTGAAGCACCTTTTCAAGTCACTTCACCTGGCTTACACACTGGCAGGTGTGCAGAGACCCTAGGTACCCAGGGCTGTGATCCCAGGGAGGCCGCCATAGGGGAGGAGCACATCTGCTCACAGTCACAGTGCAGATGCTTGGGGCTGTACTGCTCATGCCTCATTCATTTTTCCCCACAACGCAGCCCCGCTTCCACTAAAGATAGGCAGCCCTTCCACAGATCTCATATTGTCACCTTAATTATTTAAATCAATCTTGCCTTAAAAGTAGCAGTTCCTGGGTTGGCAGAGTGGCTCAAGTGGTAGTGTGCCTGCCTAGCTAGCAAATGTGAGGCCCTGAGTTCAAACCTCAGTGCCAAGAAAAAAGAATACCAGTTACCAAAGTATGGACTGAGGACCCCTGTGGATCCCTGGGATCCTTTTAGGTGGTGTTCAGGGTTTTCCCTTCACCAACAACAACTGTGTGAAGCCAGATTTTCTTTGTCTTCAACAGAACAACAATTCAGCAGATTGAATGCGTGCCCAGACCCAAGAACTCAACCATCTTCTTTTTTGTTGTTTGTTTTTCGCTGTTTTGGCTTTCTGGGTTTTGTTTTTGTTTTATTTTCTTTTGGCAGTACTGGGGTTAGAACTCAGGGCCTCATGCTTGCTAGGTAGGTGCTCTACCACTTGAGCCACTCCTCCATCCTGGACTCAGCCATCTTCTTTGAAGCCAGACATTCAGAAAAAGACAACACCACCTTTCTAACTAAAAACCTTTCTGTTTTAGAGTATGTAATCATTTTTTTCCTAAAAGTATATTATTTGTATTAATGTCTTTATTCTTATTTTAAAATGAGTTGATATTTTTAACTCTTAATTTCTACTGTGTTAAATATTGATAGATGTAATCTGCATAAGCATCCTTTTGGGGTATGTAATAATTTTCAGAGTATAAAGGATTCTTGAGGCCAAGAAATTTGGGAACTGCTGAACTAGAGGACCCTCTTGGGACAAATATCTGTGCTTCTACCTTTCTCTCAGTCCTTGTAATAGGAAATCTATAGCTCAGACCCAGATTTACACAAACACTTTCAGAGAAGTGCCAGATATAGGATGAAGGGAGGTGGAGATTGCTAGTTCCTGCGAGTTCTTTGATGTGATGGGCATGCAGGCTGTATTTAGGAACATGTTTTTGCTCTGTGTGCACTCCCTAGCTCAGTAATCTATTCTTGTTTTCAGGATCCACAACTGTTGTCTTTAACTCTGCTTTTCTTATTAGCAGTGGGTTAGGCATTGCTTTCCCCATGTGAGTTTGCTGGAGGTATGTTCTTGGAGGGGAATTTGTGTTGTCCTCACAGAGAAGGAGAGACAGGTTAACCCTCCTAATGGGAAGAGGCAGGTTACTGGGATGGGCACCTCTGCACAGTCCCTCCTGCTGCAGGAATCCATCCATCCTAGGGCCTTACTGAGAAGGCGGGGATGAACAGCTGTCTCAGTCTTCCAGTTCTACCTGATCCTTATTACAGATCTCTTCTAAGGAAAGCAAGGACTTTGTGACCACTTAACTCACACAGCATCTGCAAATCATTGACTTCCTGGAAATGGTGACATGGTCCATCAAGATGCCTGCCATAGGCCAGAGGCATGGTGGCTTACATCTATAATCCCAGCTACTTGGAAGGAAGAAATAAGGAGGATTGCCATTCAAGGATGGCCCAGGCAAAAAGTTAATGAGACCCTCATCTCAGTTTATAAGCTTGGCATGGTGGTACATGCCTGTCATTCCAGCTACGTGGGATACGTAAATAGGAGGATCTCAGTTCAGGCTGGCCTGGTAAAAGCATGAGACCCTACTTGAAAAATAACTAAAGCAAAAAGGACTTGGAATGGGGCCCAAATGGTAGAGTGCCTGTCTCGCCAAAAAAAAAAAAAAGATGGCTGTCACAGTTTAGCTTGTTGCCATAGGAGTGTGCAACAGAGAGGAAGTGAGACCAGTTGGTGATGCTGAGAGGGTAAGCTGAGTAAGATGGAGCTGGAGTGCTCGCCTTTCCATCCTAAAGACCAGCCCCCCATGGGTGGCTGTATGAACAAGACACATTCCACTGCCTGCTGGTGCACAAGGCAGCACAGGATCAGCACAGCCATCGTTCCGCACACTGAACCTCCCGCATGGAACCTTGGTATATCGCTTAGCTATTCTGAACCCCGATTTCTTTTCCTTTTGTTGGTTCTGGGGTTTGAACTCAGGGCCTCACTGCCTGCTAGACAAGCACTCTACCACTTGAGCCACACCCCCAGAGCCCCAATTTTCTAATTGGTAAAAATATAGCCATATCTGTCCTATCTGCGTCACAGAATTGCTAATAAGATTCAGATTAAATGAAGTTACAGGTGAGAAAGCTGGAAAGCATGTATAGATGTTTGTTTTGTAAAAGACATCTTTGCAGTACCAGTAGGTTTTCTGCTCTTTGTCCTGCCCTCTGGACTCATCAGGCCTCTGTTCTCTTCTCCAGGTTACCTGTGCATGACTGATGAGTGGTTCTCCGAGTATGTCTATGAGGTGGTGGTGGACAGGAAGCACGTCCCTGAAGAGGTGCTAGCTGTGTTAGAACAGGAGCCCATTGTCCTGCCAGCATGGGACCCCATGGGGGCTCTGGCTGAGTGATACTGCCTCCGGTTCTTTCCCCATCCCATGGGACCTGATATAGCTGCAAGGACAGATCCAGGAACTGAAGCCACAGTCACATGGCTGTGTGTTCCCACCACACACAGTCAGACTTGGAATTCCAGCCTCCTCCAGGAACCTCTTTGGGGAAGTATGCTTTATGCTGAAACAAAATATTCATGAAGAAAATAAAGGGGAATGATCAGGTCATATTAGCTACTCTCATCTCCAACAGCTCAGGATCTCTTAGCATTTTAGTCAGATGTAATTGTTTGTCCTAACCATCAAAAAGGTCCTCAGTGTCTGTTGTAATAGCAAAAGATGAGCAACTGAGGTGTCTGGAGAGAAAATGGCCCTTGTCCTCCTTATTCCTGGAGTAGAGTGGGGAGGGTTAGCTAAGGTTGGAGCTTTCACGCCTGCATGCTGCCTCACAGATGGCTGTCCTTCCAAGGTGGCAGTCACTAAATTCAGTTTTTTCAAAGTAATTTCACGTGCCTCTTAACAGCCCAAGAATGGGAGGTTGATCAGGTTTGACATGATTCCTTCCTGTTGTTCTGGACCGGGGGGTGCAGCTTTGCTTGAGTCAGGTTAAATACAGGCTTGGGGAACAACCAAAACCTAATCACAGTCTCAGTTGTAATCATGGGAGCTCTCGCTGAATGGTTTAACTTCTGCCTCTGCACAGGGTCTGGGGGTTGGGCGGGCAAGCAAAGGTGATACTCATTCTTTCTGACAACTAGATGGTGCTGAGAAGCTTTTGAATAAAACACTTTGCTAAATGAGAATACACTGGCTTACTCAATCTGTGTAACAAGGGTTGATGTCGGTACAAATGAGAGCAACCAGCTGGCTCAGGTTCTTCAAAGTGAGCTTTCGCAGGGCTTCCCTGCTTCAGCGCCTCTGCTGGATATATGACCCTTCCCAGCCTCAGAAGCACTGATCCTTACTGGCTTCTGCAGAGAGCCTTCAGGTACCAATCTCAGAGAGACTGTGCCCCTGCCACTTCACCATGCTTCTACCCAGATCCAGGGTCCCTACAAGTGTGCAAAGTGAGGCTTTGTTGGGCCTCTCCTTAGAATGGATGTGGAGAGCATGGATTCTACTGATACTGGGTCTCCATTGAACATAAGTAAGCAGAGCCCCTAATCAGCATTTCCATATGGGGGTGCCTACACCCCTTCTATTCTTCCCAGCCCTCACAGCCCTCACAGGGGAAATTGTCTGTCATTGTACTTACTAAGACAAAAGCTCAAGCTTTAACCAAAGCGTTTACAGTAGTTCAGTAATCATGTTCCAAGGAAGGTAAACAAATCCATTTCTAAGCACACTGATAAAACCATAGATGTTAAAAGCATCTAGGAAAAAAAGACAGATTATATCCAAAGTAAAGACAAACAGATCGACAATTAACTTTTCATCAGCAACTGTATATACCAGGAGACAGTGAAATACATCTCCAAGTACTATAAGAAACTATGAACTTAGGCTTCTATACTCAACAAAACTGCCTTTCGAGGACAAGAGTGAAAAAAAGGACATTTTTCAGGGAAAAAAGAAAAGTTGAGTTTGCCCAACAGAAGGGAAGTAATGCAATAAGGAAGATTTGAACTGCATCAAAGAACATAGAGCAAAGAATGTGATAAATATGTGGATATCTAAAAAGTGACTGTTGATAAGTCTTTGCAGAGTTCAAAAAAAGCTAAAATACATGAAAAAATGGGACCAGTTGAAACTATTCCAGGAATGTGGGGAGGGAGTGTGAAGGAGAATGGTGAGAGGCAGTGAATTCAAGTGTAATATATTTGATACAAGAACTTTTGTAAATGTCACAATGTACCCCCAGCACAATAAAAAAAAAAATTTAAAAACGAGAGTAGTTGATAATTAGGTGATTGGAATTAACACTCTAAGGTCCTATGTCATTCAGGAATTAGGTATATAAATATATTAACTTTAGACACAAGACATGTTAATATGTATGCTAAAAATTTCTAGATTAACTACTAAAATATAAACTAATAGTTTTCAAGCAAGAATAAATAGAATAAGAAAATACAATCCATAAAAAGACAGGATAGGAGAGAGAAAAAAAAAGAATAAAGAGTATCCAAAATAAGGTAGAGAAATAGATATACTATATAAATGGATTAAATATTCCAGAAAGAAGACATTATCAAACTGGGTTTTTTAAAAGAAATTTAGCCATATGCTGATTATAAAAGACACAGGCAACCTACAATACAAAGAAATGGAAAAGATACAGCAGGTAGGAACTAACCAAAATAAATTTGGTGAAATTATACTGGTAAGTCCACAAAAGCCACTCTGAATAAACAGACTATCTGACTCCAGGGTATGTAACCTACATGAACTGCAAAGGCTTTGAAACAAAAAGCATTGCTAGAGACGTCACTATCTGATGACAGGTTTACTTGATTTCCAGAAAAAGTACAAAGCTGCTAAATTACTATGCCTCTAATAACAGTCTCAAAATACATAAAACAAAAACTGAAAGCTATGGAAAAGTAACTAATCCAACATCATAATGGAAGATTATATATACTTCACAATTATTGATAGTTCAGACAACCATAAAATCAGGTGAGGATATAAAAGATTTAAGCATTTAGCAAGTTTGGTATAATGGACATGTATAGAACAATGCATCTAATAACCACATATTATTTTTGAGCACACATGCAACTTTTTCAAAAATTGGAGGTGTGGCCCTGAATTCAACCCCAGTACAGCCAAAAAAATTGACGACATATTGGAAAGTAAAGTCAACCTCAACAAATGTCAAATGTTGTCATGTGGCCTGCACTCCAGTCACTGCAATTAGGTGAGAATCCAAAATTAAAAGATAACTTAGGAGTGACTGCTATGTATTTAGAAATTAATTCATGGGTCCAAGAAGAAATTTAATCTGAGCAATAATAAAAAATAATACATATAAAAATGAGAGCACCAAAGAAGTACTTAAAAGAACTCTCATAGCATTAAAATATTAAAAGAATGTTATTAGACTGTAAGAGGTTGAAAGTGGAACTAAGCATCTATTTCAAGAAATTAAAACAGAAAAGTAAACCTGAAAGTATATGTAGAAACTAAACCGGACCAACAAAGCCGGAAGCTGATTCTTTTAAAAACAATCGTTAGTAAAACTGAGTGAGAAAAAGCACACAGGAAAGAAATTAAATGGGGTATGTTGTAAATACTGCAGGCACTAGAAAAATAAAACTCAAAAGCGACACTAAAGGGTATTTCGTTTGAATATATCAATGAACTTGTAAAGAGCAAGAGCAGGAGAGAAGACGATACTTGAAAGCTGGAAGGCAGATGAGGGTATTGAACTATTTAGCAGAGCTGAGAAAGTTGAATCCTGAGCCAGTGGTGGAGAAAGTGAGAGATAAACAAGCCAATTACATTGCATAACAACCCCACAGGCACACCCCACAAAAAAACCCCAAACCAGATGTGACAGCACTGGATAGCCTTCTGGAATGGGGAGTAGAAAGAGGGTCACTGAAGGGTTCAATGTCTTTTACACCCCTCCCTATTCTAAGCAGCTGGATGGCCTCCATCAATCAGCCCATGAGTGATTTCTCTAGAGAGGAATAAGCAGGTCACAATATAGAAGTCAGGAAGGGGGAGAGGGGGTGAATTCCTTCAGGGCGTTAAATGAGCATTTACATCCTATTTGGCCTCAGTCCTAGACCCTGATAGGAGATTGGAACTCTTCTCTGGAAATCTTGATTAGCTCAAGAGGAAATAGGCAGAAAATATGGCCTAAAGTATTATTTTATGAGTCTAGCATAACCCTGATAAGAATAGGGTTTTTTTAAATGCAAATCTCACCCATAAACAGATACAAAAGTTCTAATCAAATCCAGCAATACCTAAAGAAGGATAATCTCCAAACATTTAGTCATTTTTCAAATAAAATCAGGATCCAGCTGGGCGTGGTGGTACACTGCATGGCTGTAATTCCCAGGAGGCTGAGGCTGGAGGATCTAGAGTTTTCAGCCAGCCTGGACTACATAGTGAGACCCCTTCTCAAAAATAATAAATAATAATAGTAATCATGATCCAATGAGGAGAAACAAAGAACGACAACTGCATCTGCTGGATGTCCTGGGAACTAGGGAAGGTGTGGGTCTGTCCTCTCCTCGTGTGTGACAGAAGGCACAGCCGGGAGCTCCTCTCGACATGTAGAGTCACGCTGACCCTGCGTGTCCCCGAAGCCAAGCCCTGATAATGGGACCTGCTTTCATGATACGGTGGTGGCAGCTGCTGGCCCTGGCTGGTCCTAGGGAGAGTTGAGTTCTAAAGTTACTGGTGGCGGCGGCAGCAGCTCAGCTCCCATTCCTCCTGTGCCATGGGTGCTGCCAACTTTGGCTGTAGTTAAGTCATTTGTTATGTTGGATTTTTAAAAAGCGATTCCAGATGGGCTCTCTCGTGTTTAGGGCAATGTGTTCAGAACTTTTATTGCTTCTTATGAAGCTGCCCCTTCCTCCTGGGGGTCTGTGCTACAAATGGACCAAAATGGCATAAACTGGCCAGAGTTTTTCTTTGTTTCCTTTTCCAACTCCAAGCCCTCTCACACATTATGCAAGCAGGGAGGGAAAGGGAAAGTTCACACACCCATAGTTATCTGGGCAGTGTGTTGGGTGAAGGCAAGAAAACCTTGTGCTCTTGCTTCTTGGTACCCATTGAGGACCCTCCCCTCTTGCTACTTCTCCAGAAAACCACTCCGCCGCAGCCCAGCAGGAAGTGGAGCAGGTGGGCTCCGGGGCATCTCTCCACTGCTTCATGCCATGACAGTTGTTTGCTTTTTTTTTTTTTCAAACTAGCCATGGTGCAGGACAGGACAGCTGCAGCAGGTGGATTCATGGTGTGCTCCACTTAGAACTATAGCACCCCCGGGCTGGGGTGTGACTCAGTGGGAGAGTGCTCGCCTCGAGTGTGTGAGGGCCTGGGTTCCGTGCCCAGCAACACCGTATCACACGAAGTTCCGGCATCCCTGCGTCTCACCTGGCAGGGACCACACGCTTCACCTGGTCCACACTTCTCCAAAACCGACAGAAGGCTTTTAAGTTCTAGTTGGACACATTCAGTGACAAGGACACACAGCTTCCCTGCCCTGCCTACCCCTTCAGACTCATCTTAGTCACTTCTCTTACTGTTCACCTGCTCCAGCCAACTGTCCCCCCACACCGCCCCTACCCCGCGCTGCCACTTTGTCCCTCAAACACATCAACCTCATGTCTGCCTCCTTGGTGTTCCCTCTGCCTAAAGCTCTCACCCCAACCCAGATCTTTGGATAGCTGACTTCTCATTCATATCATTGCTCCAATGTCAAGGTCATCTAGGTCACCTTATCTAAGTAGCCAACTTCCCTCCCCACCGCCTCTACCTCCTCCATCTGTGTCACTCTACCCTGTTACTGGATTCTATTTTCTTCACAGCCCTATAGCTCTCTGAAATTATCTTATGTTTATTGTCTGATTTCCCCCAAGTCAGTACTCCCGTCAGCTTCCCATGGGCAGGAACTCTGTCTCGCCCCCAAGCCCCGCCCCAGTGTATTCTCAAAGCCTGGCTGGCAGTACATATTGGGAGGCCAACTGACTGACTGTGCCCTACATTCTGACAGCCATAATCAATTAAAGGTTTATACATAGACTGAAGTCTGCCTCCCTGAAACTGGCTCAGTGGAGACAAGGTGAGTAAAAATATTGCACCTGTGACTCTTTGTATTTCAATGCTTATCATAAACGTGTGGGTT